CACGCCACAGCCGCTCTATCACGTGAGCACACTACTCCGATGTGCTAAGGTTATGAGGTGAGTTACGCCATGTCGCAAGTTTTGTGAGCTGCTGTCATGATATTTAATGGATTGGATTGGATTGTTTTTTATTTCTCTCCGATATCCGATTCAGTAATTTAGGTCAGTATCGGACCGATACCGATATGTAATATCGGATCGGTCCATCTCTAGTGAAAATGGGTGTGGGTCACAATCAGCCAAGGTTTTGGGTGAACCCACTGTGAAACCTAGCCCCACCCTATCATGTGATTTCCTGAGGTGAAACAGCCAAGAATATGAGTGGGTGTTAGTGAAACTTTCTCTGAAGTGGATCCAACATTGCTGGACTCAGATTCCTAAAGAATGAACCATCATACCCTGTGAAAGTGTAATCAAACTGTTTAAGGAAATGGACCATGTTATGTTATGTTACCTAGAACCTATACCACTGAAAATTTTATAAATCTGTTAGGGTGAAATATATGAAAAATATAAAATGTACAATAAGCTGTTTGCATGTGTGTGCATACCATTAAACTACGAAATATTAGTTTATTAGTGTCAACAACAAAATTGTTGAAGCACCTTTTTGATTTAATCACAGCATTCAGTCTTCTTGGGTACACACCTGCCAACAATTACAGAGACTGATTAGCCCTATGTAACATCCAGCTGTCCTAGTAGGAGTTTCCTGACATTTACAGAGTTGCGTACTAAAGCAAAATTCACGGTTTGTAGAGCGCTTACAAAGCAACAAAGTGAACTCAGTATTGAAAATATTTCTTCACTAGAAGGGTATAAAATTTCCACAGCATCAGATGTACCATCGAACACAGTGAAGACTTGTCGAAAGAAAAGAGTGTTTTTTCTTTTATATAATTCTTTTCTTCTCTTTGGATTATTCTACTTACTGGATCATGCTGATGTAAGTCTCCACATTCATCATGTCCCCATCCCTCCAGTCATTCTTGAAGCCCAGAACAAGGGTGTTTGGCTTGAGGCGGCCAAGACCAGCAGCCTTGATTGGACCAGGAACAGGAATCGCAGATTAATCATTTCTTAAATGTGGCTCATTTCCAAAGAATAAGCAAAACTATGAGTGTGGAGCAGGAAATAAAAACAGTTCAGTCCATATAGTGTTCAGCCTGTCACTTGGGTTATGGGTCCAATCTTAAAGGAGACTCATGTTATCCACTCTCAAGTTGGTTACTGATAGCAAATAATGTGTGAATAATTACTTCCAGGCACCTTACTCCTCAGTCCTGAAAATAACCACAGTCTCACTTTCACTACAGTAAAGCACCTGGGCTACCTTATGCAATTTTATGCCTTTTTACTGCGACACCACATCTCTCAGTTGTGCTGACCTCTCTTCACAAGTGAAGTAATTGTTCCTTTTAATTTCCACTGAATGGATTTGTTCCAGGTTAGCTCTGATCAAGAGCTATTGCCCCATTCCATTTTTAAAAGTAGAATGGGAGGGAGAGCCTTCAGTTTTCAG